CAAATGACAAGGTTCATTCAATGATCCCAGATGCGCATGTCTAAACAGACCTTTAAAACTTCCTCAAAAAGATGAATGATCTAAAGCTTTTAAATCTCTCTGGCAATCTAAATAATCTTAAAGTATTTTGATCTTTAGAAAATGCAATCTTGCCTATTGAGAGGTTTTATAGGCTTGCATATTCTCAGAGTTAACTCTTGCTCATATAGAGAGCCCACTTTCCTACCTAACTAGGGGAAGAGTATGAAGTTATAGCTCAACTTCCAGGTACGGCCCTCGCCTTTTCCTTTACTCTCCCCTATCTAGACATGACAATAACAGCGAAGCCAACTTGGACACAGAGATGAAATGCATACACTGAGGATAGAGGACTAGCCCCCACTAGCCCTGGGCAGCTCACCTGTGGATTATTATGGGTAAGAGAAAAACCCTTCTTACTTAATTCAATGCATTTACGAGTGTCTTTGTTACCCAGTTCAGACAACACCAACAGTGGATCAAAGCACTGAGAATCTCTGGGTACACTGTCCTCAATATCCAAAGATATCGTGTAATCTACATAATGAATTCTGAAGGAGATGAAGCCCAATATCTACTGATTCTCAAAGAATAAAAAGAGAATTTTAGGTAAGAACAAATGGTTTAATAATTACAGCTCTCTGCTTTCCTCACCATTTTCCAGTGAGTCTTAGAGGCTCAGAGGCTTACATGCAAGGAGCTGGCTTGTCAAGATATGTCAACAAGATAACTTACTGGTAGCCATTACAGTATCATCACTGGCTTTTTGTATTCTGTGCTAAAATTAGAGAGTTTTATAAAATTGAACTTGTATAAAAAGCTAGAATAATGTTTTTTAGTTCACATGATAAGCCAGCCTCTGGATCATTAACAGGCTATGGGAAGACAAAGATACCTAAGAAAATGTGACTGAAGGGGGAAGTTTAGCTGGAGACAACATCTAACAAAAATTAATTCGTGTTATTATTATTAATGTATTGAAGCATTATTGCCTCAGGTTATAATATTCATGTTATCAATTGTAGCACTAGTAAGACATCAAATCAATGACAGCCAGGTTCATAAGACTCTCAAGGGCTTTATGAGTTGGTTAATGTCCCACTTTTATTCCAAAATATTAGTTGACAGAGTTCAGTGTCACCAATCATGCACTTATTCTTTTATTCATCAATTTCTGGGACAAAACTAGATGTGGCACACTCACACGTGTGCAAAATGGCTATCGTCCTTGTCCTGATGGAGTTTGCAGCTTCATTCCATGACCTCAAACATTTCTGACTGTGCGCCTCTATTAGGGAAAAAAATTTAATGCTCTCAAAAGTACATATTTATTTATCTGAATAAAATCACTTCCATATGTTATGCACATTGCAAAATATTAAATATTACTAAAATATGGCTTCTAAAAGCTACTATGAAAAAATAAATACACAGGTAAGTCCCCAGGCTTCCTTCCCACATCCTAGGGGGATCATTTTGAAAGCAGTGAACAGCCCATATTGGGAAACAAAATGAACTGTGTCATTTATATATTGATTTCTCTCCTACATCTCACTCTTTCAAATACCTTTGCAAGTAAGTTTCGGGAGTTTTTCACAAACAGGTATATAAGAAGAAATCAAGAAACTGTCACTGCAAAGTCAAATGGAGTTACGGCTTGAGTCGTCGGAACCTATAGGTAATGCATAAACAAATGGTTTTCCACTGAGACTGGAGGGGAGGGCTGAGGGCTAAGCGTGCCCCCTGCCACGTCGGGTGGTTCTCATTAGCACCTGAGCTGTCCCCTACTCCCTCCGTACCCTCCTGGCTGGCAGAAGCCAGGGAGGCTGCCAAAACTGGAAACAAGAATCGCTTTATAAATCAGACACCGTATTTGTACTAGTGTTTTCTTTATTGTTACAGACTGTTATGATAGACTTTATAAATTGTGGTTGGTAAAGTTGGATCACTGAGAGGCTTTCAGAGTTCTGTGCTAAAGGAGGGAGGAAAAAAAAAAAAAAAAAAGCCAAGCAAACTCAGCCACAAACAAAAAAGGGGAAAAAAACAGCATTACATGTCTGACCAAAGACGGGCTGGGTAAAGACCACTTTTTGCACACACATAATGTGATACTGTGCTTATGTCTGGTGTCTGTTACCACTGGATGGGTTGATCTCTCAATAATGATTGCAACCACACATGTAATTTTGCTGTATGGGTTCACTCAATATCTATATTAGAACTAAAACGAAGATACAGACCTACTTACGAATGCCTAACGCATCTATCCTATTTTCAGCACCGGCAAGAGAAATGAGAAACCTGATTATTTTGGCAAGATGTGTAGAATGTCACGTTAACCAATCAAAGGGTAACACATTTAGCAAATCCTTCTTTGACTAGGATAGGAGAAGATAGGGCAAACAGCCTAGCACAGTGTGAACACGGAGGGGGCACGGTTGATTCTAAGGATAAGGTATGCCTAAGCTCATCTCCTTCCTAAGGGCTGGTCTAAGGGGAAGAAATGGCATCTTTCACCTCCAAGTAGATATTGGTATACTTTAACATCCCCTTATTCTTAAAAAAGAATGACTGTGTGTGGTATTACCCAGGCAAAAAGGCTAAGGTTCCATAACACAACGAGAGCAAATGTGAAATTAATGAAATAAAGTCCTACTCATCCTGTGAGTCATAAAAATCTATTAGTATTAAGACTACTTGCCTTTATTAAGAGTCGTGGATTATTCTTGCCTGCCCACAAATATTTCTTTTTTTTTTTTTTTAACCTGCCAGATACTGAATTTCTCATTATTGGTGTCACTCACTGGGAATGAGGTACTATGTCTCCAAAAGTCTCCTAAAATAGTGAACACCATGAGTCGAATCTTTCACTCATGTTTTCTAATGATTGTTTGAAAGGCGGACAGCTAGTGATTATTACTTATTCATTTTTATGGATTGATTGATTTGATTTTGCCTATAGCCTTTCACTTTTTCTTTTCTATTTCTTTTGTAGTTCATTCTCATCACATTAGCTAGCACCTTCAGAACAATGTTAAACAATGTGGATACCGTGGGCATCTTTGTATTTTCCTGACTTTAAGAAAACTTTTTCATCCTCAGCTAACTTTTAGTTTGAGATGTTTGTAATAACATCAAGAATTCCCCCTGGTCCTCTTTTCTAATTGATTTTAAACATCAGAAATAGGTGAAAAATTGTCAGTCACTTTTCAGGATCTATGAGATGATAATGTTTTTCTCTTTTGATCTGTTGGGATTGAACCATTTTTGCATGCTCATAGATAAATGTTAATAGTGCCTTTTCTTAGTATTATTTATTTTCAAAACTACCTTGACTGGTCTTGCACCCACAAAAACCTCAAAGGATAATAATCTTCAAGCATTTTAATATGAGCCAATCTAAACATAAAATTCTGACACGATCATTTACCTACCCAGAATTACCTTAATAAGGGATTCAGCTTTGAAATAATAGATGACCCCTACATAAATACATAAATTGTTATTTATAGATAGATTTACTCAGCGATTACTCAGTATTTGAGAGACAAGCTTCACAAGTGGGGTAAAAAGCAAACTAATGGAAATGAAATACGAAACAGAACAATGAAAATGAAGAGATCAGCAGAATTACTGTTGCTATAGTTCAAAATTATAAAAAGGCTATTCTGAATTTAGATTCACATTTTAAAATATACATCTACTGCATGAAGCCGAGCACCTACACGCTGATTATAATGAGAAAGTAATTGTCATAAGCAACTTGCTTTCTTAGAAATGCTAGAGAAATCCATGCTTGAGTGATTCTGACACACGTTATTTTACATTTTGGTATTTCTGAAATTAAGATACAACTAGAATCTATGATCATGTTTGATGTTTTAGTCAACATTTTTTCCTTTCGTAATAATACAGGAAATAAAAA